TCTATTTTATTCTATATCTATCTCTCATTCTATATCTATCTCTTATTCTATATCTATCTCTCATTCTATATCTATCTCATTCTATAGATATCAATCTATCTCTCTCTATATCTATCTATCTATCTCTATATCAATCTATATATCAGATCACCCGGAAGCCTGGGCTCTATGAGGAGGAATGTGATATTATGATTGGAGGAAGACTCATCAACAACCTGCATTATACAGATGACATACCTTGCTTGCTGAAACTGAGGAGGATCTAAGGCATTTGCTCAAGAAGGTCAAGGACTACAGCCTTTGATATGGATTGAAGCTCAACATTAAGAAAACAAAGATTCTTACCACTGGGTCAATTGGCAGCATCATGATCGATGGTGAAGAGATTGAAATTGTGAACTGCTTTAGTTTGCTTGGCTCTACAATCAACGCTCTTGGTACCAGTAGCCAGGAAATAAAAATATTAATTGCGTTGGGAAAATAAATCTGCTGTCAGGACATCTCCAAAGTACTGAAGAGCAACGATGTCAGAATGGAGCTAAGATGCGCCTGATACAGGCCATAGTCTTCTTAATTACTTGCTATGCATCAGGAATCTGGACAATGACTAGGGAGGATAGAAGGAGAGCTGATGCCTTTGAGCTGTGGTGCTGGAGAAGAGTATTGAGGGCACCATGGACTGCCAAGAGAGCAGACAGGTCTGTCTTGGAATGGGTGAAACCAGGCTACTCCTTGGAGACAAGGATTCTGAAGCTCCGTCTGACATATTTTGACCATGTTGCAAGGAGTAGACCAATCCTTGGAAAGGGCCATCATGCATGGGAGGGTGGAAGAACAGCACAAGAGAGAAAGACCCTGGATGAGATGGATTGACTAAGTGACCGGGGTAATGGGGGTGGATGTGTCAGAGACGATGTGGATAGAACAGGGTTTAGAGCTGTTTTACACAGGGTCACTATGAGTTGCAAGGGACTCAATGACATTTAACAACAACTACAATAATGATGTAAGTTTGAGCACTATAGTTTGTTTGATTCAGGCCATGGTTTTCTGATCACTTGCTATGTATCTGAGAGGTGGGCCTTGAATAAAGATGACAGAAGAACAATTGAAGCCTTTGAGCTGAGGGGGTGGAGAGAGTACTGAACATCTCATGGACTTCCAAAAGAACAAACAAATATGTCTTGGAAAAAGTATAGCCAGAGTGCTCTTTGGAGGCCAAGATGATAAAGGTTTGTCTCACATACTTCAGGCATGTTGCTAGGAAGGGCTATTCCTTGGAAAGGGACAGGATGCTCAGAAAAGCAGAGCATCAGTGAAGGCAGGAAGACTCTCAACCAGGTGGATTGACACAGTGACAGCCAGTATCAGGAAGTGTGAGGATGGCACAGGATAGTACAAGGTTCAGATCTGTTGTTCATGGGATTGCTATGAGTCACCCTCAACTCAACTGCACCTAGCAACAACAGAGAACGGCCAAGTTAAAATATATAAATCAGATCAAATTGTTAGCCTGGTACATCATAGGTATTCATTCAATGGTCAGTGGCTTCAATACTACTACTATTTACCAATATTATTTGACACTATAGGCAAGGCACTAGATATATGCATTATATAAACCATGAATCCTCATAATAACCTCATAAAGTAGGTACTATTATTACTTTGCCTTGGAGGGAACACAACCAAGGTGCTCCTTAGAGACAAGGATGGTGAAACATCATCTTACATACTTGGAGTATGCTGTAAGGAAGGACTAGTCTTTGGAAAAAGACTCATGCTGGAGAAGGTGGTGATCAATGAAATCAAGGAAGATCCTCAACAAGATTGATTGACACAGTGACTGTCACAATAGATTCAAGTGCATCAGAGATGGTAAGGATGTGCAGAATAAGGCCCAGATCTGTTATTCATTGTGTCGCTACGTGACTCATAGTCAACAATAACATCACTACCCCAGAATCCTTGGGTGGTGCAGATAGTTAATGCACTCAGTTGCTAACAGAAAGGTTGGTGGTTCCAGTCTATCTGGATGGAACTTTAGAATCCCTGGGTGGCTCCTTGGAAGAGAGACTTGGTGAAAAGTCAGCCACAGAAAACCTTAAAGATGAGAGAGAGCATTCAGATGGCCAGTAAGCACATGAAATTCTTACTATCATTAGTCATTAAAGAGATGCAAGTAAACACCATGAGGTATCTTGTCCCAGCAACAATAGGAAAGTTCAGTAAGACAAAAGACAACAAATACTGACAAGGGTGTGGAGAGATTAGAATTCATACATTGCTAGTGGGACTGTAAAATAGTGCCACCCCTCTGGACAACATGACCCTTCCTTAGAAGCTGAAAATAGAAATTCCATCTGACTGATCAGTTTACTCCTAAGTATATATCAGAATGAAATGAGAGCTGTGGCACAAACAGATATTTACACACTCATCCATTCATTGCAACATTATTCACAGTAGCAAAGACATGGAAATAAATGCCCTTTAATGGATGAATAGATAAACCAATTGTAGTGCACACATAGAGTGATGATAAATAATAACATAGAATTCATGAAACACCACACGTAACATAGATGACTTTGGAGGATATTATTCTGGGTGATATTTTTGTCAGTCACAAAGGATGACTATTGTCTGAGTCTGCTGTTATAAAAAGCTAAGGAATGGTTTGCACACAGAAAGAATCATTATTTGATGGTTACCAGAGATAGCAAAGGTGGGTAAGGAAAAAAAAATTCCACAACTAAACAATAGACATAAATTACATGAAGATAAAGGCAGCAACCAGGAATAAGGAAGCGACCAGCACAGTATCACTAAACAAAAGGCTTAAACAGAGAATACAGACCACAAAGGTAAACGCTATTAAATGCACGATTAAGCCTGATCAGCAATTGCAAACTTGAATCTTCAACCTCAGGATGGAGATGAGTGGATTCCGCCTCAGCTAAGAACATCTCTTGCTCTTCTGGAGAGCTTTGAAGAAAAACCTCAAGAGGACATAGCAAAAAGCCTAGTCCCAGATCAGGGGGAGGCGTCTGGGTTCTTACCTGTAGCACGTGCTCCTTGCTTCCAGGGGTGGAAGAGATCTGGAACTTGCTGTGGTCCCCAAGGTCACCTTTGGTGCACTGCCAGTGCACCTCAGGTCTGGGCTCCCCACCAACCACGGCCCGAAAGATGGCATTCTTCCCTGTGGTATGAAGAAGAGGCAGGCTGTGAGAGTGACAGATTGAGGGAAAGGGGTGACTTTATTGAGGTTTTCTCCTTTTTGTATCTTTGCTGCTTTTGTGGCTAAGTATATAGGGAATTGTGCTTTTAATGCAAAGGCTGCACTTCTCAGGCTGTTTGAAACCACTCACGCCTTAGAAAACACAACCATACAAGGTAAATGGAAGCATTTGTCAGTTGGAATCCACCAGCTGTTCCAAAGGAAAAAGCTGAGCTATCAGAAACCAAATGGACAGTCAGCTATGAGTCAGTTCCATCTCAACAGCCATGAGCGAGGGAGTGGATCTAAGAAGAGTACCAGGCTGTGCAGGGGATGGGATTTTGTAGGTCTCCTGTCTACTGTCTAGAGGGGTGATGACAACCTTGGAGAGAACTGGCTGTTTGACTGGAGTTGATATGGAAGCTTTGGGTTCCGGCCCCAAGTCTTTAACCCTCAAAGAACCTTGGCTTCACTCCAGGAGCAGCCCAGAAGGATGCAGTATATAGCAAAGGCTCGAGGGCCCTTCCTAGTGATTTCTCACAATTTTGTTGAATGTGGCCTTGAAGTCAGATTTAGGAAAATAAAGTAGCATCTTCTTTCTTTTATGTTTTCAGTATATTGCAGACTGAAACACATCACAGTGGCGTGTGTTGGGGGAAGAACACCAGTGGCCACTTCATCTTTATCTCGACCTTCCTAGGAACTTTTCCCATGTGGCCTTCTAGAATGGCCTTTGTAGCCCAACCCATGAGTCTCTGGGACTTGACTTGCTGAAGGCAAGGGTTGGCGAGAGTTAATATTAACTTTGTTTCAGCAGTACCCCTCTGCAGCTGTCTTGAGGGATGGAGTGGGAGAGAGGGACTATTCAACACCACAACCTCTCCCTGACCTCACTTTAGTATTTTCCCATCCCCAAAGGAGAAAGATGAATAGCCTGCTTTCATGAAGACTCACAGTTTCAGCAATCTTATAGGATGTTTCTGTTTTGCGCTACAGGGTCGCTGTGAACTGGAATTGAGTCAGTGGCAGTGGGTTTAGTTTTGGTTGGCTTGGTCTTTCCACAGATATTTCGAAGTATATTTTAGTACTGCTTTACTCTGCTCCCCAGGCTCCTTGTCCTTTCCAGGGATCTAGGCTCTCCAAATATGCACAGAAGGTTCTGAGAGACACTATTTGGATACATGATGGGCCAAGATCTCAGAAAACAACCCAGGAAGGTGGGCGTCCAAGCCCTCCTCCCCAGGGGATGCTGGGAGGTGGGAGCAGGGGCAGGGGTCTTGCCTTCTCTCAGCAATTCCCCTCCTACATTTTACCTTCCTGCAGAGCCAAAGGGATGGGCCTCTGCTCAAAGCTCGGCAAACTGCCTCCTTCAGGGATCTCCTCCACCAGCTGCCGGATGCTCACCCCAGGGATAGACTTCTTCAAGGGCTTCGCTGGGGAAGATAGAAGAGAGGGGGTGGTTAGCATCTGTGAAAAATGGAGCATCATTTGACTCACCTATGGAGCAAGAACCCCTTTCTTTCTTCAATTGCTGGGCCAGAGTTGCCTCTGACAGTTTATATTTTACTTTTCTAGTGCAATCAGAGTGCTACTTAGAAGCAAAGATTCTGAGACTTCATCTAACATATTTTGGGCATTTTGTCAGGAGAAGCCCTTGTGAAAAGGACATTATGTTTGGAAAGGTGGTGGTGGTTGTTTTATGGACCATCGAGTTGGAACTGACTCATAGCTGACCCTCCAGCAGATTTTCAGAGGCTGTAAATCACACAGACGGAGATTGCCCATCTTTCTCCTGCAGAGCAGATGATGGATTCAAACCGTGTACCTTTGAGTTGGCAGTGCAACTCCTCACCACTGAGCCACCAGGGCTTCACTTGGGAAGGTGGAAGGAAGGTCAACAAGAGAGAAAGACATTCAACAAGAAGGACTGACAGTAACTGCAACAATGGATTTGAGCACAGTACAGAGTGTGAGGATGGCCAAGAAGCAGGCAGAGTTTTGTTCCGTTGTCCAAAGGGTTTCTGTGAGTGACAGTTGATGCTATTGCAGCTAACAACAAGAGTGGGAATCTGAATGGTGATCCTCTGGCCCTGTGAATAAAGCCCCTGGAAAGTGGGCAGGAGCACTGGTAGGAAGAACCTGAGTGTGTCACTGTGGGAAGACTGTAATTGTTGTTAGGTGCCGTTGAATCCAGTATGACTCATAGCGACCCTATGAATGAAAGATCTGAACCCTGTTCTATCCTGCACCATCCTCACACTTCCTGACACATTAGAGCCCATTGCAGCAGTCACCATGTCAACCACCTGGTTGAGGTCTTCTTCTCTTTCGCTGACCCAAGAAATAGCCCCTCCTAGCCACAATAGGAAGCATTATATAGATCCCTCTTCAGGAAACAGGAGTCCAAGGGGAGGACCCTACCACTCTACTCACGGAAAACACATCTCATCTAAATTCAAAGCCAAAGCTAAAGACATCAAAGAGATGGATGAGTTTTCAAAGAACTTTACAAACCCTTGCATCCTCTTCACCCTGGGGACTCAAATGCCTCCAAGGGGGTGAGATGACAGAGATGGAGGAAGGAAGAGGTTAGTTCTCTCACCTGCCATAGTAGGTGCTGTCTGAGGGCGGACCCTGGTCTCCTGGGGAGAGAAGGTAGAATTGTTTGTGAACGGGCAAGGCTGGAGTTACCCCACACTTCCTAGCCCATCAATATCAGGACTGGGGGCTGGGAAATGCAGCTGTCCCTAAGAAGGTATTGTCTACCCCAAACTGATGACACTGATGGGTGCCTTGCAAAGCCCTGACCCCAGAAAAACCTGTTTCCCAGAGATAAGGAAGGAGTCTAGTTTTTCTCAATTGATGTCTTCCCAGTTGAAGAAACAATGACGCTGAGCCGATGACCACCTGATGGGACTCCACGCCTCATGGCCTTTCAGAAGGGACAATGTGAACTTTCACAAACTCCATGGAGTCAGACTCTGGACATTTAGGATCCTTCCCTCTGTTTAACAGCCTGATCTCCTTAATCTTGGCATGCGAATTCTCCAAGGATATTCTCTGAACCTCCTGGCTCCTCCTTCAACTCTGCTATTTTCCAGCAGAGTCCAGAAGCCTTCCGCCTCTCACTTCCAACCAATCTGAAATTCTTCAGCTTGTTAAATCAGTGGGGGACAGTCTCTGACTTGGATGCTCTGAAACTCTTCCAACCCAGACCAGTGGGATCCTCATAAATCCATCCACTCCTCTCTGAACCCCGTGAATGATAGCGTGAGGCAAATAACAGTGTTTTCCAGCCTCTCAGCACCACCGCCAAGCCTCTCCTGAGCTCCTCTCAGTTGGATATATCTTATGGTCAGTGGGGAGTACCGCCCGGGAGAGTGAGGGGGTTAGATCTGGCATGGGAGCTTCCTTTGTGAGAATTATGGGTGGGACTGTGGGGAATCATAGACAAGTCTCCAACAATCCCACTTCCTGTGATGGTTGGCCTGTGGCCAAGAGGTTCCATTTTGGGAGATTCCAATCCTTACCCAAAGAGCCCTTTTGCTGATATAGAATCACCCATGACTGACGGAGTAAACTCCTCCTTCCGACTGACATCTTTTCATTTCACAACTGCCCACCCACTGGCTCTTCTAGCCCCGGGGCGTCCGCTTACAGCCCAGCTGCTGCCCCCCAGTGCGCTGGACTGCCCGAGATGGGCCAAGCGCGTTCTGGAGCGGTCACAGGCACGCCATGGGCCACAGGCGCCACGGACAACCACGGGGCAGGGAGTCACGAGGACGGGCAGGAAGGAGGGCAGCCACCAACGGGGAAGGGCCCTGCTGGCCGTGGAGGGAGGGCCGGAGCTGGCTCGTTGGAGCCCACGCCCTAGCACAGCCCATCTGGTAGAAGATGAGATACCTGCCGGAGACCCCCACTGAAGTCTTGTGAGCCCAACCTAGTTACCTTCATTGCCATCATCATCATCGTCATCGCCTCCACCACTACCAAGAGTGGCAGCCCCTACCAGTTACTCAGCTATTTGCCACACATAAGAAGCATAACGATAATGCCACTGGCCCTCCCTCTTGTCTCCTGCCTGTAAGTCCCAGCTGAGAATGAAGACCTTCTGTGGGAACTTGGGGGCTGCCCTCCACTAAACCATCTCATCCCTTGGATCTCCGTCCTCTCCCAGAATAGGCCCAATTTGACACAAGGTCATGTTATAACAAAGAGCAGAAAATCTACTTGATTGGGGATTGGGAAGATGTTTCAGTTGGAGAGGATGACGAAGGAGGGAATTCTCCTCGTCATAGTGCATTGCTCAGATTTGAGAAGGAATCTATTTCTCAGCACCAAACAGCAGCTTGTGTCCCTACGTCAGTCTCTCAAGAGGACTTTCTTCATCACTGGACCCTTGAGTGTGTCTCTCTCCCTAGATCCTCACGGTCCTCCATCCTCAGCCCCCATCCTCTGTTTAGCCAGTGGGTTCCTGCTCCCTTCAGCTTTTCCGATGGTAGGCAGTGAGGGAAGGAGGGCCACATGAGTCTTCGCTTAGTTGTGAATAGTCAAGATGATGTGATAAGTCCCAATCCTGGGGTCTTTCCTTATTCTGGGCAGGTGAGTTTTTTAAATCAAGTCATCCTAACACTTTCTAAACTGCGCAGTTCTCAGAAAATTAGCAACAAGACAGAACTCATTAAAATGATCTCCTCTGAATTATCTTAGAGATACATGTATCTTAGGGGTAACAGACCACTGGAAATGTCCCCGGGCCACTGCCTCTCCATTCTTGAGCAGAAAAGGCAGCAGTCAGGCTAATGTCTGCATTCTCTGGCCCTACTCCGCCTGGTGTGGGCAGCCAGGTGTGTGGTGTCCACTTACCTGGATTCACGGAGGCCTCCAGCCTCCTGCCTGCTCCTTTCTCCCTCGCTGCCAGAGGCTCTGATCGGACTGCGGGTAGACAGGCAGGGCCTGGGCAGATGTAGGTCACACAGACTCCTCTGGCTCCCTGTGTCCCTCCCACTCACTCCGCCTCCCTCCTCCTCCTCCAGTCCTGCTTGGCAGGGCAGGCCCCCCAGGGTTAATGCCTAGCCTCAGAGGAGGTCAGAGATGGAAGGGTCCTGTGACATCAGCTCACTTGACTTCTCGTTTTACAGACCTTTAAGCTCCTAACCAGAGAGCTTAATAATGCAAGTTTGCTCCATGTTGCCTCTTTGTGTTGTGTGCTGTCACGTTGATTCCGCTCATAGGAATCAACAGAGTAAAGTGGCCTCATCAGTTTCCAGGCTGCGATCTTTATGGGAGCAGGCTGCCAGGTCATTTCCCCCTTACACAAAGCAGCTGGTGGGTTTGAACTGCAGACCTTTCCTGTAACAGCTGAGCACCTACTCATTGTGCTGCTGGCACTCTCTGTTGCCTCATTACATGTCACCCCTTTTCACAAAAGAATTCTCATCATCATTGTCTTCATTTCTCAGTTAGCTGATCCCTTGGGACCCTTGAAACCGTAAGTCAGACAGACACATACAGCCACTGCCCTCTGAGGGATCACAACCAAAATGGGATCGAAGAGGCATCTGCTTCAAGAGTAGTCACAGACCCAAATAGGCAGGAGGACATGGTCCCAAAGGGCAGAGACCCTGGGGATTGTGCACAGCCAGGAAGCCTTCCAGGAAGAGATGAACTTTCTTAGGAGCTTTTGGGTGTTGAGATTTTTTAATATTTATAACATTTTAATTATTCTTTCATCTAGTCATTCATATGTATTTTTATAACATCAATTACAATGGACTAACATAATGAGTTAACTACAATATCTGACCAATCTTCTTTTGATGCTTCATTTTTTTCCTCTCCATTTTATTTTTATATTTTATTGGTTTGCATAGAAAATTCATATACATTTAGTATAATTCATGTACATTGTATTTCACACATACCTGCATTCAAGTTGTAGTTCAAATGATCACTCATGTGCAATGTATTTTATTAAATTAATCACCATTGATCTACTATTACCCCATCATTTCAGGTCCCCATTTGATCTTTCTTAATTCTTTTACTGTGGCCCCATCCACTTATTAAACTCTTTCATCCTAGTGATTTCCTCCCCTCCTCACCCTCTGCCCCTTCTTCTCTTGCCCTTTTATCCACATCTTACTAGTTATAATGATTTTTATGCAGTATTTGTCCTTATAAAACTGAGTTAGTTCACTCAGCATAATGCTCTCTAGATTGTCCTGTGGCATATAGTATTTTTTTTCTTAGGAGCTTTTTAAAGGAAAGAAAGGTTGATCTGGTCAATTGGACTGGAAGCTGAAGTTGACAGGATAGATAATAGTTTTTGAGCCTGCATAGATGGAAAGAGGAAGCTGGGATAGGAAAGCTGGCAACAGATTTTCTTAAGAAGTGTGGTGGGCAGGCAAGGATCAGGAGGAGAAAGGTGATAAGACCCCCTCATTTTCCTTGGGGACTCTTACAGGCTTTGAAGTCATTTGAGAATTTCAATCTTTGTCCTAAGGGCTACTGAAGTTTGTTTAAGCAGGAGGAGGGGTGGTGACAGGATAAGATTGACTTTTTTTTAAGACTTATTTTGGCTGCAGGATGGGGGAGGGATTAGAGAAAAGCAGAAATGAGAGGCCAGCAGGAAGGTCTGGTAACTTCATTCTTAATCTTACTGTGGAGCCCTGGGCTGTGAGGGGCCTCACTGCTGCATAGCCCATGGAGGAATCCCAAGAAAAGTCTCTCAGGATGTGTAATAAGGTTATACGATGGAGAAGCCTGAAAGGAGCAAGTCTCTGTTTTCCTAGCAGGAGTGCTTGAGAGGGAGGACATGCATGTACTATTTGCTGTCTCTCAGTGCAGACACGTGTGTGTGACCATCCAGGGTACGTGTCACCATTTATTAATGCTCTCCTGCTCCTACTGAAGGGAAATACATCACATGGCAGGTGCCAAGAGCAGGTCTGAGAAGATGACACATTTCATTTTGCTGGACGTACGTAGGGTCTCTAGTCAAGATCAACTCAATGGCACCCAAATCCCATTAAGAGATCCATGCCCTGCAGAAACTTCTTTTCAGGACCCTTGTACTCTGCATGGCATGAGTTAGACAAGATGAGCTCTGATCAGACCAATTCTAACAGTCTCCAGTCTGTGATTCGCAGGCTGTATTCCGCAGATGAGGTTGTGGACTTTATAACCAGCATCATTTCGTGTGAGTTGGGAAGGAGAGTTTGAATTCATCTAGAGGCAGCCATCAGCTCTAGGTGTGAGTGTGTGTATGGCTCTGGCCCATCTGGGTAAGCCACTGAGGACTCTGTCTGAAGGACAATGTCCTGTCTTGCCCTCACTGATGTCTGGTTAGATGGGCTGGGAAGTCATTGTTATAACTAAAGACATATGCGCAATAAGTGTGAACATTATACAGGTGTGCACTCTCTGTACAACTGCCCCGTTGAATGGACTTCCTTGCTGGACATGGTGTCAGGGTGGAACTGTATTCCAGTCACATGGCTAACCCAGGACAGTGAGGGCTGAGTGAGGCAGACAACACCCTTCCCTGCATTTCACAACAGGCCTGTCTGGATGCTGTCAGGTCCTCACCATCTGGTCCCACTTACTTGAATCAGCCCCTTGCCCCCATGGCTTCCTGCCTGGTCAATTTCCCTCCCCTCTCCTGCCCAGGCTCTGAGTCAGGCCTAGCTCCTGTCTTTGTCACTCCACCTGCAATGAAATGAATCCCTTGAGGTTTTATAGGAATAAAGACCTTGGAGGCCGTGAGGACAATTTCATGCTCATAAAACCAGCTTTCAGCAACAGAGAAACTTGAGGCAGGAACCAGTTTCCCAATTTGAGCAGGCACAGCTGGCCTGGAGTTTCAGAAGGGGTCCTTTTGTCGCTCCTAGCCAGGGGGAGGAATCTCTGCTCCACATTCATGGTGAGTGCGTTAGATAGACCACAACAGGGGTAAAAATATGGGGCAATGCAGAGCTTTCTGGAAAAGCAGAACTGGACAAGAACTCTGAGGGTACCAGCAATAATCCAACAATAAAATTACTAAATGAAAAAACGCACGCAGTACTTGACCCTTAAGTAGAACTTAAGTGTCGGTAGTGCTTCCAAGTTATAAGAAATACTATCTTATTTAGTCCGTGCAACTAACCCAAAAAGTGGAATTTAATACTAACCTCATTTGACAGAAGTGAAATAGTGACAGAGAGATTCACTTCCCTGTAGTCACATGGCTAGTGAGCAGAAGAGCCAGAATATGGCTGAAAGCAGCCTCTGACCAACTCTGCACTCAGAACTGCCAGGATTGTGTGGGTCTAATTTAACTCCTGCCTCTTCCTATGTGGGTATGGGGATATGGAGAAGCACTATGATTCACCTGAAGGGGCACAAAGATTGGTATACAGCCGGTGTGGCTTCCCTTATTGTTGTGTTCTGTCGAGTCTGAACCGACCCATAGCTGACCCTCCAGCAGGTTTTCAGAGACAGTAAATCACGAGAGGAGATTGCCCATTTTTCTACTGCAGAACAGCTGGTGGATTTGCATCCTATCTCCACACCTTTTCAACCTATATGCAGAACAGATTATCCAGGAGGCTGGGCTCTATGAGGAGAAATGTGGGGTCAAGATTGGTGGACGATTTATCAACAATCTGCGTTATGCGGATGACACAACCCTGCTTGCTGAAACTGAAGAGGACCTGAAGTGCCTGCTGCAGAGCATCAAGGACTGCAGCCTACAATATGGATTGAGGCTCAATGTCAAGAAGACAAAGATTCTCACCACTGGACCAATTGGCAGCATCAGGATGGATGGTGAAGAGATTGAGATTGTACACAGCTTTAGTTTGCTTGGCTCCATAATCAACAGTCTTGGCACCAGCAGCCAGGAAATTAAAAGGTGCATTGCCATGGGAAAGTCTGCTGTTAGGGACCTCTTCAAAGTACTGAAGAGCAGTGGTGTCTCTCTGGAGACTAAG